TATATATATATATATAATTTTTCATTTCTTTCCTCTCTCGTTCAAATTATCATAGAACTCATTTAAATAAATAAATAAATAAAAAGATTATTCGAAATTTCTTGGTAAATTGAAAGTAGCTTACCCTGTGTAAACTAACTAAGGAAATTTCATATTCTGCACCTGTTGGTTTTGCTTTACCAGAAACTCTTTCCATTAATTCGAGAGCATATTTTTGAAAGGTGACATGTTCCTGTCGTTTCTCTTGTAAAATAGGATCTTTCATAAGTGACTGAATTTGGCCATTTGTGAACATTGGTAGCTTGCTAATAATCTGCCTAACTTTTTCACTACGTGCTAATCCAGCTAACGCACGACACGCTAACGCTCTTATGCTGTCGGCATCGGTGATAGGCGTTTTCACCATCATTAATTGCAATAATACCTTTCGCAAAAACGATTTTATATAAATTATGCAATTGAAATAAAACATAATTACATACATATACACACACAAATATACCATTATTCCATTGTTTGACCTAACGCTTTCCCATACTTTCTGTATTAGTTCTTCACTGTTGTGCATGTTTGCTTTTTTCTTAGCAGACCCAGTTATGGAATATCTGGCTACATTTCCTCCGACCTTGAAATAGTTACCAAATATTAGTTCATTAGCATAAAAGTATAAATAAAATATAAAAGAAAAATGTCGAAGGAAAAACGTACTCTGTTTATGGGAGCACATACACAATTAATTACAGCTCTAAGCGCTGCTCTCTGTACATCAGCATCTGCAATAATTTCACATTCAGCTGCAGCTAGCAAGAGATTAATTGCCATTGTCATTGACATGTCCGGCATATCGACTCTTTCGCATAGCAGCAACATAACTTTCGGCACAACAGAACAAATTGCGATTACGTCCAAACACGATCGAACTGTCTCTGCACTAGATGTGGCATGTACCCTAAAAATAATCGATCATTTAGAAATCCTAACAAAATAATTGTGTACACTGATTACAATATAAAAGATTCTATAAATTAGAAAAATAATTTGCCAAATTTTTTTTTCATGTACATGTGTTGTGTATACATCTTACCGTCCGCTGTAATTCCATTCACGAGCAAAAGCTATAATTTGCAAAAGCAATGTAATACCACCCAAACGATGAAGTTCTTCCACTGGCGGCCATACTGCTCTGACTGACATTAATTCTTGAAGAAGCTCTACCTTTGCTTGAACTTCTTCGCTGCTAAGTTTGCAAGCCTAGAATAGACATTTCAAGAATAGATAAATATTCAATAGTGTAAAATACTCGCAAATGATCTTGACATATGTTGTTTTAATTGTTTTAGCATTCATTGTTTATCAAACAGTTATTAAAAATAAAAATTTATGTGAATCAAGTTTCAGACATAGACTGATATATAATGAATTTGATGTTAGACCCAATATATTATACGGACATTATTATACCCATATGTATACTTGATATACATACAGATTTTTATATAAGATGTTCAAACATGTCAACAATTAAAAAGCAAATATAGGAGAGATATTAATGTGATTAATTATCGTGTAATTAAAATTTTAAAAATGCATAATTACATAAAATATTTTACCTTATAAGGCGGTAACGAAGGCTGCCATGTATCGCGTTCAGCCCTAACGTTTTCTGCCCGTTGTAATTGTTCTGCTTTCATGTGCAAATGCGCTTCCATGTACCTTTTCAAAGCAACAGCCACATGTCGCACAATCTGCCTCGATGCACATTCCTCATCGTCATTTATAGTTGATTCTTCTTCAACATTTAAGATTGGTAATGTAGATATCTACAAAATTTAAATGTATTTTATCTTTTGTCATACAAAGAACAATATTTTTAGATCTATTTTTATATATTATCTTTTTTACAATAAAATTTGATATTCTTCTTTTAAATAAAATACAGAAAAAAATAATGCAGAGTTCATTTTATAATAAGCGTAAATACTGGTTGATAATATATATTTTTCTTACCACATTAAATAATTTTCTCAAGCCATCCTGTGCATCAAACTCTTCCAATATGACTTTGAATGGAAAAGAAAAACCAAAGAACATAGTCGCATGACATCGTCCGGAATCGTGACTGCGTTCCAGTAACCACAATGCATAAGTTACAAGATCGGATATTATGTGTTTTGGCAATAAACACACTCGTTCCATAGCGTCTTCGCAGTACGCAAGATAATACAGACATATAGACACACCTGTTGCTGCAACACTCGGTCTCGGCACGTCTAACAGCCGTTGTAAGCCGCCGACGTTGAGAAACTCAATCGAAAACTTCTTATGACACAGCAGGGACGCGAGATATTTAAGAGCTTCGAAAGCAAGTCTGCTATCTTTGGTCTCTCGTACATTAATATATTTCAATATCAAGTCCAGAGCGCTATGTTCGAATACATGACCTAGGAATTCCTGATATTCTCCCATAGGTGTCAAGTAGCGTAGGATCAACATCTGTCGAGTCGCTAGAGTAGGAGGATACATCTGAACATTACCGATGACGTACGATTCCATTTCGGCCCAGGATGAATTCGAGTTCCCTTCCAGCAATGTGCTGGAATTCTGAAACGAATTACATAATTTTTGCAAATTGCATCTGACAGACGCCGGTACGTTTGCGATCCTTGTGAATTGCAAACCACTCTGTTTGGATGGTGTCACCCCCGAGTTAACAGAATTGTTCGTAGTTTTCGGAACAGACAGAGGCGGGGACATGATCTCGGGATATAAATCACTATTTTTCACAGGCGTTTCGCAACCCGAATTGCTTCTTTTCTTTTTTATGACTGGCATATCATCGTGCGTGGAGTCATCCTCGTCGGAAGAAAGCTCTTGCTTCTTTACGATTCCGTTCTTCCGCCACTTTTCTCGCGCTTTGTGTTTCCCAGGGATGGCTTTATCCTCGAGATCGACAATGCTGTTCCTATCTTGTCCGAAATGAGCAAACGGTCTGGCATTCTTCTGATGATCTTCGTGCGCTTTCTGCTGGCGATCTTCATGCGCTTTCTGCTGTAACTTGTGCAACCGTTGCAGCATCAATGGTACCATCTTAGCGTTCTGATCTCTAAATCCTGTAGCAATGTCTTGCACTTCCATGGCAGCTGCCAAAAGACCAGTTGAGTAGCTCTGTAACGGTTCGACACTTTTCTCCGACCAAGAGAATAATCTGTGTATAAGGCCCTCCATATCTGGTTGAAATACAGCTGATGTTTCTAATCCTGGAAGTATGTCTAGCATCAAACGGCAAGCGGCGATATTCAGCTTTCTAACATCTCTTCCAGTTATCCCTGCACGAGACCAGTATGTGTCCCTCAAATAGTCATTTATTAACTGCAAACAAATATGTTATTAAAACATTGATATGGTAAAAAAAAAATCAAAAGTTTAAAGTATTTATAATGGGGACAATAAATATATTATTACTAATCTTGTGTCTAAGTTGCATATAATTAATAAGATTAATCTTATTACATAAATAATTGTTGATGATAATAAGTTTTTATTTTATTTTATATTTCATCCACCAAACCAAAAATGAAATAAATTATTACATGACTCGATAAAGTAATTCAAAAATACTTATAAATGTTAGTTCATATATAAAAAAGACCTTTGTCATGTCATAAAGTTATCCTTTCTGAATAAAACTTTTAATATATGTCCAAAATTACATTCTGGATCAGTGCGCGAGGGATGCCTTTCATCAAACGGATCTGGATCCATCTTCATATAATTCTCTGTCTCAAGTTCTATTATATCTGCTAATCTCTGAAGAACAGGAATAGGGTCATACATTGGTGAATTATGCTCTTCTTCCCATTGTCGAAGAACGTCAGTTACGTCAGTTACTTCTGCAAGCGATTCTGCATTTGCCATTATTTATCTGTAAATATCAACATATTTATAATTCTACTTTAAAGGCAGTTATTGCAGTGAGATCTCATCATATAACAAGTTTTATTAAATTCTATGTATTTTAAATTTTACTTTAAAGAGTTTTGTATGTTGCAATGAGATCTCATTGTATAACAAGATTTATTGAAAATTCTATAATATATGTATATATACACTACCGCTCAAAAGTATTTGCCCATCTAAAACAATCATTCTATAAATGTTACAAACAATTAAAACAATGTAGTAATTATGTGAAAAGTATTTATTTATGTTTACGTATCTAATTACCAAAAATATGTATGCACAGTAATGCTTAAAACTACATTTTTCCTCCATCTATATGTCCACCTTTGTTTTTGATTATAGCGTTACAAAGCAAAAATGAAAAGCAAAATGTTAACACATAATTGAAGAATATTACAAATGCTTATTATGACATGGCACAGACCGAATAAACAATGGAAGTTCGGGCGAATTTTGTCTCTAGGCGAATTCCAAGGAATGAGCTGCAGGTGTTTTATGATGTTTTCTATTTATATATTAGTGATAATCAAAATATTATTTCAAAATACTGCCTTATATAGCGACAATACATGTGTACATAGAGTAAATATAGGTAAAGTGCCAGTTAAGACTTTTATATAAAAATTATCCACGAAACCGATGGAGGGCAAATACTTTTGAGCGGTAGTGTATATATATAAAATTAATGTATATAAATATTATATAAATTAATGTATAAATAAAGCTTTAATAATATATAAAAATCTGATAAAAACGTAATTAATCCAATGGAAAAATCTTTATTTCTTACAAAAAGATATATGTATATGTGTGTGTGTATGTGCGCGCGCGCGAAAATTAATTGTATAATATACACGCATTTCTCTAAGAAAAAAACACAATAAAAATTTCTACTAATAAAAAAAAAATGTTCCAATTAAAATTTCAATATGTACATTCTAACAAAAGCAATGTGCGGATATATTCCATCTGACTAAAATATGGGCAAATTATAGCCCTAAAACAAACAACATAGACTTTGTCGATAACTTTGACTTTTTAACATGTCGAAGAGAAATATTTTATTAGTAAGTCTCATAAGCACACAAAGGATTAATGTCGTCATCAATCATACACACGAATAGCGACGATCTAACCTCAAAGTGGCACAATAGTAAACAAAAAGCCCGACATGGATGGAAAAATGATCGAGGAGACACTCGAGAGCGAGGAAGTAAGATATACCGCAAGAAAAATAGATAAAATCGTGCGACGAGAATCGAGCTGTCAAACGGCTATCAAACCGGCCGGCTACATCACCAGGATCCGCGTGCGCGTAAAATTGTACGATAAGGATCTGTGGCGCGTGTCTTCTGCGGAGGTTAGGATCGACGTGATTTCACACTTGCAAAAAAAACATATTTCAACAACTTTCCCAACATTTGTACGAATGATATCACTCGACTCGGACACATACCCAAGCAATTTCAAGACTGAAAATGTATGTATGGTTTTTCCTTTCGACCACACCAACTCGCGGAGTAATAGTAATGTACGGACGATGGATGACGGATGACGGATCCAGTAGATCATAGCATAGATATATTACATATAGATAGAGCTTTATCTATCTTACTGAGTGCCAAGATAATAAGATACTTTCCTCTCTCGCGCATGTGCAATCGCGCATTTCTCCCGACAGCCGAGAAAATAAGCTATTGTTGACGAGAATAACCTTTTTTATTTTGTGTAGAATGTATAGATTGTGTAGAATATCATGTTTAATAAAAATACAATACATTAAATTTTTCGCACTTGTTAATCCTTAAATTTCCTAAAATTTTCATGCCAATTAAAAGTCGCTAAAGCCCATAGCCCGTATCAGGGTGCCATTACACGGAGCGCGGAAACGCGGATTAGCGTAATGCGTAACGCGGAACGAGAATGGAACCAATCGCAAGCATTCTGCAGTTTTCGTTAGGGTGCCATTACATGGAGCGCGGAAACGCGGATTAGCCTTAGAACATATATAAATGGAAGGGGAATAGCAGGCTGAAAAGTGTCGAAGGTAGTGAGAAAGAAATCGGAGTTGCCTCTCTCTTGTGAGTAACTACACATACAAGCATCTTGTCTGTAGTATACATACTTTTGTGTACACATACATGGCCGCGCATGCGCACTTTTGAGCAAAGTAACTCACAAAAGAGAGGCAACTATGAATTTCTTTCTTACTTCCTTCTGACATGTTTTTCTATCGGGAAACAAAAGCATTCCCCTTCCATTTATATATGTTCTAAGTCCGTTTCACGCATTGAGCGCATAGATCGCCTGGAAATCTATAATATATG